GGACAGTCAGTCTCTTCTATTGCTAGAGTAACACATCTCCTCAACTAATTAAAACAAAAATTTTTTTTAATGTTTATTTTTGAGAGAGACAGAGCACGAGCAGGAGAGGGGCAGAGAGAGAGGAAGTCACAGAATCCGAAGCAGGCTCCAGGCTCTGAGCTGTCGGCACAGGGCCCAGTGTGGGGCCCGAACCCATGAACCATGAGATCATGACCTGAGCCAAAGTCGGACGCTCAGCCAAATGAGCCACCCAGGTGCCCCTTGACTAATTTTTAAAGTGAATTGGCTTAACCACCAAGGAATTGTATTTATCCTGGGGCCTTCTGAATTTCGTTCTTGACTTTGGCTGACCAGAAGGAGCACTTTGGAAAGGCTGCCGTGGAAGCCCCAGGCGGGGAAGGTGGGCGGACGTGTAGTGAGTTTCCTGCTCTTTACCCCCCTCCTCTGAAAGGGTCTTTCCTGGCCAAGCGAATGTGCCGAGGTCAGAGTGATCATCAAGGAGCTGGTTTGGAGTCCCTGCAGTTTCCGGTCTGTGCCAAGACCTTGTTGTGACTCAGTGCTTGGCTTGGCCCCGTTTCCTGACTTCGCCCGAGGAGCAGGGCAGTTCCGCGCAGTGTTGTCTGGGCTCAGGGAGGGGTCTCGGGCTGTTGAAGGCGATAACGCGGTGGAAGCTTCTCCGAGAGCGGAGGTGGGTGATGCCTTTTGAATTTGCACATTCCCCGTGTCTGGGCAACATCCTCACCCATTTCCTGTTTCCTTTTCCAGGGCAGAAACTGTAGGAGGGCTTCTCTCCGTCTTCCCTGTTGCTCCCTTCTCCGCTGTGTCTTCCCACGTGTACCTCTCCCTGTGTTCCTAAGTGATGACTTTGAGAAAGTCTCTGCGTATCACTGTCTCTGTTTTCCAGTTCAGGAAAATGAGGTGCAGAAAGGTTGAATAACTTGTCTAAGGTCACAGAGAGGTAAGAGCGGGGTCAGGATTCAAGTGCAGGGCCATTTTGCCTGCATTGATCTAGATGGTGGATGGGGAGGCAGCTCTGGGCCTCAGAGCTGGCTCCCCGTGACTCTCCTGCTCCATCCGCTTTCTCCCCGGCCCTCACTCGGTGACGCTGCAGGTCACCGAGCTCTGTGGTCTGCCGGTTACAAGGGAGCTGCAGGCCGGGGCCGAGGGCCGTGGCACAGCCACGGGAGAGCCCGTGTGCCCGTGTGTGCATGTTTGGGGGGGAGGTGGGGCAGGACAACGGTTCCCAGGCTGCTTAAAGCCGTCAGCACTTGTGTGATGCTTTCCTTGGGAAACAAACCCACATCGGGCTTTTGCAGGGCTTTCAAGTAAAAGCTGCCCAAGTGCGGGCGTGTGTTTGTTTTTTCCCCAGCTCTGATAACCCTTTGCTCCGGCTTCCTTTATTCTTTGTACTTTACCTGGAGACGTGAAGAATTGGAGGCCACGCCGCCTGTGTGTTTTGGCCGAGGGGAGCTAGTTAGCCGGCGTGCCAGGGCTCTCGAGGCCTGTGGGGGTGAGCCACGTGGCCGCCCTTGGGCCTTCTTCGTGGCCGAGCTGCCGGGCCCCGAGTCAGAATGCCCGGGAGCACCACTTCCTGGCTGGGGAGTCC